TCACCTTTTGGAGCACGAGACTTCGATTGGTCTCTCAAGGGATTTCCGAGTCAGCTGCTGGGAAACTGTCGGATAGTTTGTGCTGAACGTCATCCTCGATATGAACGGCTGCTATGACATCATTTTCTCCAATTGTTCGATGGTTCCCAATGTGGTGGGATGATCCGTCGTCTTGTCGAAAGTATGCCGTGTGACGATATTGGATATCAAAATCGTAGACCAACGTTAGAATCGATTAGCCGGGTGTGCTGGGATTCCCTTGTTTGAGCCGAAGATGGACGGTAACGGCTTATGACCTGTGGGCTGAGTACAGCGTTTGCCGTATAGGAATATATGAAGCATCTTTACGGTGAAAACGATGGTCAACAGTTCCTTTTCCACCTGTCCGTAGTTCTGCGCGGCTGAAAGCTTGCGGGGGGCATGGGCAATGACTTTGGCTGATCCGTTCGGGAATGTGTGAGATGACCGCTCCGACACCGAATTGGGATGCATCTGCTGCTACTGTAATCAGCAAGCTTGGATTGTAGTGTGTCACGAGGGGTCTAGACGCCAACATTCATTTCAGCTCCGTGAATGCGGCTTGGCAGGTGGGGGTCTACTACCATGGTACATCCTGGCGAAGGAGATTGTTGAGAGGTGTTCGCACCTTGATTACGAAGGGTTTTATCTAAAACTGTCCATTTTACGGGGATATTATCATTTTAATATTTTGGCTCCTTTTCGGCTTTCATCGTTCATCCCTTAACGAATAGGGGAAGGGGGGGGCGCTGATGGATCAGTTCTGTAAATATCCTCATTTTTCGCATCAATTTTCAAGCTCACTATGTCCGGGGAACGGAACAGTACATAAGCAGACGATCTGACACGGTAAATTTGACTTGCTTTGGGCGTGTCGATTACACGTTCGCCACCTACGCTTCGTACACGCACGCTCTGCCGACTGAGCTACGAAGTCACACCGATAGCACTGATCTTTTCACACTCTCATTCGAAAAGATCAGTGCTATCGGTGTGGCCTCACAGCTCAGCTGATAGAGCGTGCGCGTGTAAAGCGTATGCGGCTTCCATGCGTGGGTTCGAATCTCATCGAGGCTACTGAACTTCTCACAATCGACATAACTTCAAATCTGCCAAAACAACCATTTGCACGATTACATGTTCGTTGCTCACCACCTGTATTCTTGGTCACGTAGCTGGGGGAAGGCTACTATAATGCTTGTGACGTGCAGTCTGTGCTGTGATCGTATTCGTGGGGTTAGACGACTTGTGTGGCCGGTGAGGTACCTAAATCGTATCTCTGTGCACATTCGTGGTCTATCATTTCGTGCATGTCGATGGTGAGTGTCCAATCGATGTTTCTCGTTCATCATTCCTAGTGAGTGCCACTAGTATCGTGTTGTGCTGTGCTTTGACGACTCGTGTTTCGGACACGTTGTCTCCCGTTTTTGTCTGCTTTTTGGGGGGTGGGGGGCGGTCATTGTGGTCTGTGTTGTGTGTTAGTTGTGAGTGGACGTGAACGACACAACTGAACGAACGCTAACCCATACAGGCGCAGGCGCACTCACTAATTGTACAATGTTAATGGATCCCGGCGAATTCATGTGTG